ACAGTATAAATAATATATGATGCTTCTTTCTCCCAAATTATTTTTCATTATTAAAAATGATGCACAGTGGCTAATAGACCTAAGAGAAGATCACACCATTCTCCTTGAACAAAGTCCAGTTAACATCACAATGGCATACTTCCAACAAAGACTCTCATGCATGAAGAACTGGACAAAACCAGGCCTGGACATGATCCATGTCTACTGGCTCAAGAAGTTGTCCTTGCTCCATGAGCGCCTAGCGGCAGAAATGAACCACCTGCTGAAGAATGGGCTAACTGTGGGTCAAACAGTCTTGATAATGAAAGACCCTCAGAAGGGAACATTCCCATCCAACTATTGGACAATAACCTCTCTCTCCACAACATGGAAGCTGCTGTCAGGAATCATAGCAGCTAAGATTAGCACGTGGATCAATACATGACAGAGGCATTTGTAAAATTGCCAGAGGAGCCAAGCACTAGCTGCTGGTTTACAGAACAGTCACCCGTGACTGCAAAGCCACACAAAAAAATTTGTGAACTGCCTGGATTAATTACAAGAAAGCCTACGACTCAATGCCATACACACATGGATCCTGGAATGCCTGAAGCTGTACAAGGTCAACAACAATTTGAGGACCTTCATTGCAAATTCTATGAGGCTGTGGAAAACCACCACCCTTGAGCCCAATTGCAAGCCAATTGTGTAAATCTCAATCAAATGTGTAATATACTAAGAAGATGCTCTTTCCTCACTGCTGTTCTTCATAGTCCCGGAACCCTTCGGCCAAAAATCAACAAGACTAGCTATGAATACGACTCAGAAATGGGGTCAGTATAAATCACCTGCGGCGGCTGTGGTTAAGTTGTTAGGGAAGTTGTTCCTCTAATGCAAGAGTTGGCAGTTCGATTCCACCACCATTAGGTCACGTATCAAAGTGTCCTTGAGCAAGACACTGAACCCCCACACACACACACGCTGCCTCTGATGTGTGTCTCGTCAGTGTATGAGTGTGATTTAAATCACTGATTATCTCCTTAAATTGATTTGATTTGTATTGGCTTTGTATTGAGACATAATGAATGGATGTGTGTGTGTGTGAATGGGTAAATGAGGACACAGATTGTAGTGTAAAGCACTTTGAGGATCCTGTCTGGATAGAAAGGCACTATATAAGTACAGTCCATTTACCATTTACCTCCTTTACATGGATGACATCAAGTTGTATACTAAGAGTGAGAGAAATGTTGACTAACTGATCTATACCACCAGAATCTACAGCAGGGACATCAGAATTTCATTTTGGCTGGAGAAATGTGGTCAGATGGTAACAAAGAGAGAAAGAGAAGGTAATCCACATGAAGCAATTGTGCTCCCAGAAGGGATAATAGCAGATGTTGAGGAGAACTCCATGTACCTTGGAATACCACAGACAAATGACAACCATAAAGAGACCACAAGGAAAGCAGCAACAGCCAAATATCTACAAGGCAAGTTCTGCGAAGTCAGCTCAATGGCAAAAACAAGGTCTGAACATCAACAGCTATGCCTTACTGGTAATCAGATACCCTGCAGGAATAATAAGCTGGCCAAATGAGGAAATTCAGACATCTAACGATAAAACATGAAAGCTACTTATCATACATGGTGGATTCCACCCCAAATCCAGTATCTATAGGCTATAGTGCACAAAAGGCAGAGGCCTAATGAGCATCAGAGCCACCATCCAAGATCCAAGCTACAAGAATTCAAGAAGATGTTCCTGGAAGACAAAGCATTCAGTGAATGTATCAGACAATGGACACTGAAAGAGAAGGAGCTGAAGGAATCACCATGGGAATAAAATCCCTGCATGGGTTGTACCACCGACAGATAGCTGAAGTGACATATGACCAAGTCCTACCAATGGCTGGAGAGGGCAGGACTGAAGGACAGCACAGAAGCACWGWTCAAAGCAGCACAAGAGCAGGCCTTTGAGCACAAGAGCAATAAGGCCCAGATCTACCATACCAGGCAAGATCCCAGGTGCAGTCTGTGCAAAGAAGCTCCAGAAACAATCCAGCAGTGTATTAACAGGAAAGGAATACATGGAACACCATAACCAAATGGCTGATATAATATACAAAAACATCTGTGTGGAGTCCGAACTGTAGACCCTGAAATCAAAGTGGGAATCACCTCCCAAGGTGGTGGAGAATGGCCGAGCTAAGATCCTGTGGGACTTCCAGAKTCAGACAAGATGGTATTGGCCAACCAACTGGACATTGTGATCATCGATAAGCAGCAAAGAACAGTCACTGTGATTGATGTGGCCATCCCCAGTGATGGAAACCTCAGAAAAAAGGAACACGAGAAACTGAAGAAATACCAAGGGCTCAGGTAAAAACTAGAACAAGCCTGGCAGGTGAAGGCAATGGTAGTGCATTTGGGGCAGTGACCCCCACACCAGAGAAGTGGCTCCAATAGATACCTGGAGAAACATCTGACATCTCAGTCCAGAAAAGCACAGTTCTGGAACAGCTAAGATACTGTAAAGAACCCTCAAGCTCCCAKGCCTTTGGTAGAGGACTCAAGGTCTAGGTCCTCTACCATATATACATACACACACATAAGTGAGAAAACACCATTTATTAAAGCAAAAAAAAAAGTACAAATTCAAAAGGACAGAAAAAAAAATCAGCTGACATAAAAATTTTGTTTTAATAAAAAATGGACAGTTTCAAATTCAAGATTACAAAAAAATACACTATAAATCACATATCTTTGGACAGCATTGTGACACCTTTATGCAATTCAGAGAGGTATTTTATTCTGGTTATGTCAAGCATTGTGCTAGAGGACAGAAGCAACATAAAAGTGCATAACAGTTAAACTCATGTCTGCTTCTGATCCAAAGCAAACAATGGACCTATTTCTTTCCTAAATGTTGTTCTCTTCCATCAAGTGTCCTTATTCACATTTCTATTAAAAGGTAGTGCTTTTTATATTCAAATGAACTTCTTCTCTTGCAAGTCATTTTACACAACACAAAAAAAAAACAATACTCAAGCTGTTCTTAATACAATATTGTACAAGATGGAAAGGATCAAAAGCTCATGGAAAGTAAAAGACACAAAGTTTTTGGAATGGAATAATTACTTTGTTTGCTTTGCTGTCATTAACCAACTGGATTAAAAATACATAAACACAGAGTGTTAAAAACCTTTTTGTAACATATTAAAAATGGTTGGAAACTAAATTCCTTGTTTCTACAGAACTACAGCTCACAGCAGCATTGGTACAAAGTCTCTCAATTGTGGTCACAAGTTCACATCGTCACCTGATCAGATAACAATTACATATTTTAATGGTTTGTAAGTTTGGGATCTTTCACTTTGTAAACATTGAGAAATCGTGCAGTCATGTCATATGGGAATATCTACAAACATTCTAAATTTGTTTGCATGCATTGCAATAGTTTACATTCAACCACTGTGAAATTAATTCAATGTCGCTGCCATTGAGAGGTTATAAGTGGCGGTCATGAATCCTCTAAATGTTACACTCCAGTGCATATTTAATAAGAAATTTGACAAATGCTCTCTTTGTTCCTGCACCAGAAGCAAAGTAAATCATCCAATTTTTTTGAGAAGTGCTTTGTAACCCACAATACCGCCTATGAAATCCTTCTGATTCTTCCTGCAGCAAAGTGCCAAAAGTAGCACTGATGCTTCATGGTGAGACAATTCTGGATTCAAACCTGTTGTTTGGCAGGTGCCTCATGGTGTGAAGTCTGCTCCAGACAATCTCTGTCCCTTTAAATGGTTGTTTGTGTCTTTAAATACTTCCCAATTGACATGAAAGCAACAAACAACATAAAGCAGCTCTCCATTTTAAAGCCCTTTGTGCTTTGTAAACCGGTTCTTTTGCCAAAACAGAAGGCACTGAACACTGAAAAGGCACAAACATTATCCTTGACATAACTTTGAACTTAATGCATGGAAACTTGAACAGAGCCAGGGAATTGAATTGAACATTTACTGTATATGTGCTGTTAATGTGTTCAAGTGGCCAACATAAATTATTATGAGACAAGACAGAGATTTTTTTTGGACCTTTATCACCAATTACTTGTTAAACTTTCACTTTTCATTACTTTTTCAGTGGACATGACAAGGTTAAGAGGTAGTTAATATTCTAAACCAGACTCTCTTTCTGCTAACTTAAATGATACATGTAACCTTGCCGTTTTGACTTTTCAAAGTAACTTGTTTAATCTATACAAATTATTTTCCAATCTAACATGTTAAATTAAGGTAATCTAGATAAGTAGATCAGCCAGAATGCTGATGTAACAAGATCATGATTTCCATAGTTACAGCCACTGCCTTTTCTTTTCCTGTTGTGGTTGAACTCAACCAATCTTCCCACCAAAGCTGTCCTGCAAATGAAAAACTTTGTAAACAGCAACAGAAAGAACAACTCAAGAGAGTTCAGTGGTAAATGGTACATGTTTATCTTAGGTCATACATCTAGCACCATATCATAATGTGGCTCCTTTTTTCTCTTCCCACATTTGTTTATGAGAATGGCATACAGTGTCAAAAATATGACCCAGTAACTTGCATAGACAACTGCCCCAATGATCAAAACAAGCTTTTCTATTTCAGGAAAAAAATTATTTGTCTGAATTGCTATTGTGTATATAAGTCCAATGAAGAGGATGATGAACCAGACAGTTATTGGAACCAGGCCAATGAAGTTTACAACTATGGTTTTCCTCCCCGACGTTCCCCAGCCTGACTTGTTGATAGTTGCAATCGCAAACATTTTGGCTGGCAACAGGCTAGACATATACAGTACTGAATAGAATGACATGAACACCATGACAATGTTGCCTCTGAGGCAACTGGCAAATGATGATTTAATCAATGCCACTGTTTGCACAATGAGTAAAAATAACAAAATATTCCAGAGTCTTCCTTGGAAGAAGAGTTGAATTGCTGTAGCTATTAGGAAAAAAGGGAAGAAGCCTGTGATCACAGCCTCATAAGTCATCCATAGATGATGCTTGTGGAACCACATAGAGTTGTAAAGCCATTCTCTAAAATATGACTTACTCCATCGAGTTTGTTGATTGAGCCACCGCAGATATGTAACTGGTGTCTCAGTAAGGCACTTTGATCGTGCTGTGTATTTTGTTGCATAGCCAAGACTGAGAACTCTGTTTGTGAGATGGCGGTCATCACCAAAACTGCAGTGGGATCCCATGAAGGTCTGATTGTACCAGTCCTCAAGAAACTCGTGCAGGAGGGAATTTCGGTACATTCCTAAAGGTCCACTGATGCACTGGACACAGCCAAAGTAGGACTGGCAAGCCCGCTCAATGTTGAAGGCCATCCAGTACCGTACACTGCTCAGGAACGAGATCCATGATTCATATTTATTCAAGATCTACAGAAGGAGATATATTCATAAAGAAAAAGCTATCAGGTTTGAGATACAGCAAACTGTTCAATCTAAACTTCTCAATTTCTAAAAATGTCTCAAGCAAAATATTCAGAACCTTACCTGAACATCTCCTCCAACTCCTCCCACCAAAGGATCCTCCTCTAAAACTTTCACCATCTCCACTGATGACGCTGGGTCTAGCATGGTGTCAGAGTCACACACCTAAGTAAAAACCATTGTGTCAAAGGAAGAATAAATTGTAATCTTGTGGTAACATGTACAATTTTAATGTGCAACATGTACAAAATCTATGTGCAATAACTCAGTCAAATGTGAAAACACTGTCCAGTGATGCCTTTGTTTTATTTTTATGTTTTCTTTTTTTATACCTTGATATTGTAAAAATTTTACTCTACTCTATACTTTATACTCAAATACCATAAGGGAGCATCTAATTTTGTTGTACTTGTTACAATGACAATAGAGATCTATTCTATTCTATTCTATTCTATTCTATTCTATTCTATTC